TTTTTTTTTTTTTGAGACAGGGTCTCGCTAAGTCACTGAATTGCCCAGCCTGAGCTTGAATGTATAGTTCTCCTGCCTCAGCCTTCCAGAGTACTGGGATTATAGGCATGTGCTACCACATGCAGCTGGGCTTATTCTTCCATGAAGAGTATTTTTAATTTCCACTTGTAGAAAAGAAGAGGATTTTCTGTGCAGGGCAAAGGGAACCCAGGGGAAACTAATATTTGTCCCACAAGAGGAACTCCACATGAATTACTCATCCCTCCCCCAACTTTTCAGCTTTTGCTGTTACAAGGATTAAAGTCACTGGGAACCTCAGCTTCCTACCTGCAAAGTATGGGTATCTTAGGAGTGGCAGCTGCAGCAGGAGGCACAGGCGTGGCTTTTGTGCCTCTCTTTCTTCTCTGCGGGCTTCAGGGCCTTCCTGGGCTTCTTTTTCCAGCCCTGGGTAAGCCGAAGCCCACCCTTCACGTCTGGCTGCTTCCAGGATTTCCTTGGTTCCCTCCCGCCTGCACTATGGCTCCCAGATAGGGGAGGGGGAGGACCCTGGGAGAACAACGCCAGGGAGGGAAAGTGGGGGTCAGATGGGCCTGGGCTCACTCCTGGCTCCCTCGCGGCAGGTGGCTCCCAAAGGGATGTCCCAGCTTGTCACCATGGCCTGCGGCTCCTGCTCCAACGAAAACGCCTTCAAGACCATCTTCATGTGGTACCGGGTAAGGCTTGCAGTGCAGAGAACACACTCTCATTTGGCCGCAGATGTGCCCGTCCGACCCGTCCTCCCACAGGCTGGAATGTTAGACATAGTGGCCAGGGTCAAGTCCAAAGAGGGCCTGGGTGCAGCTTCCCCAGCATCCTAATGTAGTACGGTACAAACGGCCATGCAAGGCTGTGACCTCAAACCTACCAGCTTAGTACCATCTCAACAGAGGTTAGTTGTCGCTGATAGAATCTTAATGCATCTTGATGCAATGTATTATTCATCTATCTTGTTGTTGTTGCTGTTGCTGTTGTTGAAAGCACAGTGAACGGTTTCACACTTCAGCGCAGACCCCTCAGGATCAGCACATGGGATCACCTCTTGAGAAAGCACTGACCATTCCCACTAAAGCAAACAGGTTTGGCGGAAAGATGACATCCCATCTACCCCCAGCCTCTCAGGTTTTGTTCTGTTCTGTTTTGCCAGAGCAAGGAAAGAGGGCAAAGAGGGTTCTCGAAAGAAGAGCTGGAGACCTGCATGATTAACCAGGTAGGTGGAGCGGGGCCTCTTGCCTTGTTCATTTGGGGGGAGCTGCGAGGCCCCCTCCAGCTGGCCTTGGCTGACTGACCCAGCCTTTCTCAGTGAGGAGGGGTTCTCAGGCATTTCCACCCCTGAGGCCTGGGGCTGAGAGGAGCACTTTCCAACCAGCCTCAAGCAATTTCCCAGAACAAAGGCCTGGAGCGGACAGGTTTAAGGAGGGTATTAACGAGATCTATAGTAAGTCGCCAGCTTATGAAGGAGTCCTGTTCCAGGAGAATGAAACCCCACAAAGTGAGTCTTACACAGCATACCTGTGAAAGTTCACAACTCAAATGTTCATAAATCGGGGACTTAATGTATATAATAATCCAAATCAGCTAAAATGTATGCATGAGAGGTCTTGTGTGAGGTCCCTATCTGTGTTTATAGTAACAGCAACCAGAAAAAAATTGGAAACCACCTGCAACCATCAAGGAATGGGGAAAGGTGAATTAAATGTAGGAAGTCCAAATGAAACCCTGGCAGTCCCCAGAGACACCAAGGAGGCCACTGTTGGGGCTCACAGGTGGCTGGTGGGGACTGCAGGGAGACAGAAGGGTAGGATCTCAGGCTCCCTCTCAGCTCAACCACAGCAGGTTTGTCTTCTTTATGCATGGGATCCCATGAAAGTTTAGGTGGAAGCGTCTGCAGCTTTAAGAAAAAAAGAAACACACAGAGGAGTAAGACCCACTGTACCATGCACCACTTACCGGCACAATACTCTTCAGCAAAACTAATAGCAAAGCGTTTCTCCTGGCCCAGGGAAGGGGGCTATCATTTGGTGGAAACAGTGGCATGTAAATTGTGTGGATACTGTACCCTCAACCATGTAAGTAAATATACAGGAACGTACTGGAAGAAATCCTGCTGACACACTTACAATGGCATGGCCCTGAGTGGCGAAACTCGTTGGTCTGGTTTGGTTTTTCTTTTTTTTTTGTTTGTTTTTGTTTTTTGTTTTTTGTTTGGTTTTTTTCCCAGTACCGGGAATCGAACTCACAACCTCGCGCTTGCCAGGCAAGCGCTGTGCCACTGAGCTGAATCCCCAGCCCTGGTTTGGTTTTTCTTATGCTTTCTTAAAATACCCTTTTTTCCTAACCCCACTTTCAGCTTGCAAATACACCCGTACCTCACTCCATGCTCCAATAGCGCAGAAAAACCTTTACTCCTTTTTTCTGGCTTTTTTTTTTTTTTAAGGGACCTTATTCTACCTCTTTCCCTACCTCACTCACCGTGAAGACAGTGAGTGTCTTTACTCACTTCATGTTCATGGACAAGCCTATTCCGTCAACATTTTTAGTTCTATCTCCTCATTTTAGTGCCTGTGTCCTAAAATGCATGATGATATATATCCATGTTACATTTATAATGAAGAAATAAAGCCTTTTCTTTTTTTTTTTTTTTTTTTTTTTTTGGTACCGAGAATCGAACTCGGAACTTTGCACTTGCCAGGCAGGTGCTTGTGCCACTGAGCTTTATCCCTGGCCCAATAAGGCCTTTTCTAGCAAGCCACAGCCTGTCTGCCTCTCAGGAGTACAGCCAGCAGGATAAATGCAGTGACCATGGGGGAACCCAGCAACAAGCTCATTTCCAAGCCAGCCTTTTGTGGTGAAGCTCAGAAGAAGTATGAATTTACAGAATGCACAGAATTTACAGAGGAAATGAAGAGTCCATGCCAGCTAGGAAGTGGACAGCTGGTGTGGGCTCTGCACTCCCTGTGAGACTGACCAGCCGCATCTTCCTGAGGCCAGTGACCGGAGCACTGCCCATCCCGGCAGGGAGGTCAGATGTGATCCACAGGAGGAGAAGCAGGAGAAGCCCAGCAACTCAGTGCAAGCTGGAGATTGCAAGGACTCCAGCCCCAAGGCAGGGAAGGAGAACTTTAATGTTGCGGCAAAGGCATTTATTTAATTGAGTCACTCGCGGAGGTCGGAGGCAGAGACAAGCAAGTTTACTGGGGCCCAGCGGTGGGCATACAGTACATGACTGAGCACTGACCCCGAAAGGCAGGAGGGGAGAATAGTTACACAGTTCTAGTTCCAGGTCTAGTTCCAGCTCTATGTAGGCGTTGGTGCTGATATGATTTAGTGCAGCTATAGAAAGACTACAAAGCATGGGCTTAGCTTGTGACAAAAGAACAAAGGTGTCTGACATTTTACATAGGGAACAAGCAGTCTTATGACAGCATGCGGTCATATCAGGTTAGGTAACTATGACATTTACAAAAAACAAACTTAAGGAAACAGAAACTTAAGCTTTAAAATGGCACTAGAACACAAAATGGAGTTGGTTTAGTTTTCTTTCCCATATCAAAACCAACTGGATTTTGCAAATCCCTTTAAAATAATGAATTTAGGAAATCAAAGTGGATCCCTGGGGCCAGTCTGGTGTAGAGAGTTTGCACACTGGTCCAGCCAGTCTCCAGTTCGGAAAGATATGCTCTGAGGAGCTTTGCAACTTTTACGAACATCCAGAGACAGATTTATCAAGTGAAAAAAGCCAGGAAGAGGCTGGCTGAGGCCTTGAGAGCAGACGGGCTTGTGGGGGAGGCACGGAGGATGAGGAGCCAAGAGGCGAGGTCTGAAAAACAGGTGAAAAACAGCAGCAGCAACTGCTGAAGAATCTGAGCTGTGAGGCCTCTGGAGAGATGTTCACCATGAAACATGTTTCTAAGTTCCCTGTGTGTATTTTAATACCAAGGCTGCGCTTACCGGTGGTCTTGTAATTCCCAAACTGTTCTCTATTAAACTCTTTTGTGAGACAGGCAGATGGAAGAAGGAAGGAAGGAAGGAAGGAAGGAAGGAAGGAAGGAAGGAAGGAAGGAAGGAAAGAAGGAAAGAAGAAAAGAGGGAAGGAGGGAGGAAAGAAGGAGGGAGGGAAGAAAGGATGAAAGGAAGGGAAGGAAGGAA